TCGAGAAAAAAATCATGTCAAAGATATATAGTCTCTTTTATTATTTCCATTGTTTCTTACAATTTCTTAACATAAGTTTTTAGAGATTTGACTGCACACTAAATTACTGCAGCTAGTTTAGTTAATTAACCTAGAAAAAATGGCACTTAAACAACTTTCAGTTAAATTTCCTGTAATTATCTTCGCTAGATGTTGGATCTCATAAAAGTTTAAAGAATAGAAAAATTAGGCACGCTTGCAAAATGATTTCCATGCTACAGTAAATCGGTAATGAGACTAGAGAATATTATGCCTTCTGGTTTTACGTTGTAGTTCAGTTAATCATTTTCTAAACTGTTTACCATTGTATTGGTATATTTAATTGTTATGCTTTTTTGAATAAAATTGGTAAAAATGCGGAAATACAAGTGGCAACCTTCTGAAACATTTATAATAAGAAGCATAGTAATGGTAATAAATGAAAAAGTAAAATGCGTAAAGGTTGCGACTTTGGTTTCAGAGAAAAGTTTGTTTTCCAAAGTCGTTTCGAAGGGCAAAGAATTGTTGATTAAAAATTTTTCATTTTTACAAAGGTTATTTATCATTCCTATTAGGTGCCCCCCGCCACCACGCAGCTTGTTTAAATAAATACGTCATTATCCTGGTATTATCCTTGTCCAGTCTGAACTATATCGCATAAACCTTACCGAAAAATCATTATATTATGCATTAACTTCAAGCTAATAGAGCACATTTTTTTGGCATGTGTGGTTATCCTTAATCTATCCTAACATTGCGCCCTGTATAGCGATGTAACGGAAGTGTCATAAGGGAAGCAGAAGCGGAAGTAGAAGGTCTACTCCACCACTGTACCATAAAAAGTCCGTGGCGGTCTCACCCCCATAAAATGTTATGGGGGTTCAAAGTTAATAAATTTGCCAATTTTTATACATTTCTAGGCATGTAAATATTTATATAGTCATTCTTAAACAATATTCAAAGGTAAAACTAATGAAAAATACATAAAAATTTTGAGAAAGTTATATAAAACATTATTTAAATAGCTTTATCAATAGGATAGTTACGGTTAGGTCAGGTTAGGTTATCGGATTTTGTTCAAGTGATCACCCTCTATCGATCCCCCACCTCCCCCGCTTGAAAATAATGTTTTTATTAAATTGTATTTGAATTATAGTGTATGAAAATTGTCAAAATAATCAACTTTCAACCCCCAGGTGACCACCCTCTTTCGATCCCCCCTACCCTCTTTCGATTCCCCTACCACCACCCCCATATAACCCCCATAACTTTTTATGGGGGTGAGACCGCCACGAACTTTTTATGGTACAGTGGTGGGGGAGACCTCCTCTTTCGATCCCACCCACCCCCACCCACGAAAGGGGGCCATCATCTAGACATTCACCTTTCATTTTCAAGTACAACAATTCGTAGAAAATTTTATATTAGGCACTATTGAGTGATTTGGACGGTTTTATAAACACTTAAATTATATCAACAACATTGCCTAATTAGGTATTATTGTTACAATTTATAAAAATATCCTTCAACAGATTTGATATAATTCGCCAAATTCTTTTCCTTTTTTCAGTATTTAACTATCGTCATAAAGAACGCAAACGTCTCTCGCAACAGTTCTTGGTAAACAGTGAGTTGACATCAGATGATTAATGACATGCGTCTTCTGAAATCCCCTATACGAGCATTCCGGACATCCGAAGCAAGGCTTTTTGCCACACTCGTATTTTTTATGTCTCGTTAGAGTTGATTTTACCAAATATGCTTTCGGGCATTTATCACATCTGAATTTTTTCGGTAAAAATTGGGGTAAAACTGAAAATAGGACCATGTTAATAAATCTATAGCAGTACATCGATCTCGTCATCGTTAAGAGGAAGGTACATCTACTGTTAATCGTAAGTTACATTTACTGGAGTCTATTACAGTAAGTTTTAAGATTTTTGTTTCCCTATAATATAAAACAATAGACTATCAAAAATGATGCACGTTTAATATTTAAATGCGTGTCCTTATAATGTTCCCTCTTCATGTTAGGCTAACCGAAACTTGCACCAACTCAATACGAATCATTCGTATCCGAAGTGCGAACGCTGGCTTCCCTTTTGCAAACGCGTCCGAACCAAACGTTGGCGTTACCAATAGTCAACGCTAGCCAACGATACGCTGACCGATAAATTCCTCAATCACTCTAAATTATACAGGCAATCAAAGTAATAATACATGCGGGAACATATAATATAATTTTGCATTATTTTTTATAAAAATTATATTTCTGTTTCTTTTACATACATGTGTTATTTGCAAACAGTAATTATAGGTATGCTAAATTGTGTCTAGATAACATATGTCTATGTAAGCTATGATTTCGAGCAGCAGTAAATGTACACAAGTGACATTTGAATGAAGGCAATATTCCACATTCATAATTAAGGTGGCGACTTAAATTAGATTTATGTTTATAAGATTTGCTGCATCTGGGGCAAGAGTGCAGCGATTTGTCGAAACCTGAAATGGATAATGTCTAATTATTCCACATTTGCTCCTAAAAGTGCTTGANTTAGGGATTTTGAATTATTGTGTATAAAAATTGTCAAAATAATCAAGTTTCAACCCCCATAACTTTTTATGGGGGTGAGACCGCCACGAACTTTTTATGGTACAATGGTGGGGGAGACCTCCTCTTTCGATCTCACCCACCTCGGGGGTGGGGGCCATCATCTAGACATTTACCCAAAATTGCACTTTTAACTTAAAAATTAACACCACTGAGTAAGCACTATACAAAATAAATGTATATATATGAAGATGCCATATGATAGAAAATGCGAAACGTTTGCAACAACGCTATGTAGAAATCCAATCTGTTTCGTTTTTTTTTTTTGTTAAAGTAATTATTTCTGCAATAAAATAAACTCATTCCTACGTGGAATAATGATTTTATGAAAACATTAGTCACGAAATATACGATTAGATAAATGATAAATAATTAACTGAAGAGCTTGTTATACACATATGTGTGTAAATATAACCTTGTGTTTTTATGCAAAGTCATTTTCTGGAACTTTCCGTGCGAAACAAACAAAAGGTAGGTTTATGTGAATTTTTGCAATTGTAATTTTTACATTATCATGACTATGGTCACTTACAGTAATTACATTAAAGAAAAAAATCGCCCATTTCATGTAATTAGGTATTGCGAACTTTTTGAAATTAAACTCGGATGTACAATACATCAAAAAATGTTGTAAACACTTACGTACAGGTAATTGCTACAACAAAATATACTTTAATTCCAGATAATTGCGATGAAGGACATTTTTATTTTTAAGTGATCGATATCTATTTGGAATTGTATTGAAAATAAATGATTTAATCATGTACTATATATGACCTTTTAAAAACCAATTTTTCACTTATCTTTTATTTTCTGTCACATTTAATTCCAAAATGAAATACTTAATAATAGCTGCAACATTGTAGAACACAAAAAATTGCTTGGACAATGATACACATACAGGGTGTCTTACGGTGACGGCCTATTAGAATATTTCAGAAACTACTTCGAATTAAGTTTTAAACTTTTGGGGTCTAAAGTTTTCGGGAGTGTTCTCATTAAATAAAATAATGTCATACTTGTAGTACTTCCCGTTATATCATTTTTTTTCTTATTTTAAATGGAACACTATATTTTTGAATTTTCAGAATTTACGTGTTATTTTAAAGGGACTTTTATAAAGCTTCCCAATTTCTAGGTCTACTAGTGTTCGAGATATTTCAATTTTATCAAAAATAAATTAATTTTAAACATGNAAGTTTTGCAAACTGTACCGTGTGATATATCAAATGAAAGGGTCACAGATATATATTTTTTATAATTTTAAAATAAATAGTTCTAATGCCATTTAAGAAAATAAATCAATATACCGTTCCCCTTCTTCCCTTATCTCCAAAACTCAGAGAACATGCTTTTTTTTCTACTACAGTGTTAAGGTGGTTCTCGGATGATCCTTATAGGATCACTTGTGTGTCTGTCTGTCTGTTTTTATCTAATGATGACAAAATTAATGTAAAAGAAATGAGCAATTATTTTCGTAAATCCTAACCAATATTCACGCGCCGTACTTTTAATGTTCAGTCAGTTGAGTGTGACGATAATTTCATTGTATTTGATGATCAATTAATAAAAGAAGCAAACAGAATCATTATAAAAAGGATGATTTTTTTTCAGGACAATCCAGGATCCTGCTAGTCAAAGGCTGACGTGGTACAAGCCGCCCCTTACCGTATTGGTTATTAAGAAAGTAAGGGATGTCTCAGTCCTTTCGCCCTTCGTTCAGTTGGTCCATTGGCTTATCGAAGTAAGTTCTTGCACGTTTACTGTTCTTTTGAATTTCAAGATGACCATAAAAATCCTTGATGAAGGAAAAATATCTTTATTGCTAATTTTCAAGTTTTTAAACAAGCAATTAAACAATATTTTTGAGATTTAAATTTCTTTCATCAAATTTTTATACACATTAAATAAAATAAGTTCATTGAACATAAAAACATTACAAAAAAACATTCAAAAATGACCTACTTTAAAGACGGGGAGGCCCATTTTCAACTATTATTCAAACCGTAAATGGTATCATCATGATCTTTCCTATCAAGAACTAATCTTCGCATTTCCTTAAAACTAGAACATCCTACATCCTTAACAATTTGCGAACAGTTATTAATATATCGTTTAACAATCTTTTTCGAATTTGTAAATTAACCATTCACGAGCATAGAAGTGACATCTTTTTGTTGAACCCTGCGCTATCCTGGGCTTTATATCCATAGTACTCCTTTTCTTTACTGTCTTCCTAAATACCTAAAATCAGTCAGTTTTAATTTTAATTTTTTTGTTAATTTTAATTTTTTGTCTCCTGTCATTATATTCTCCCTTTCCCTACTTTTTCTTCCCTTGCATATCATTATTTTTGTTTTACGTTTATTTTCACACAATATTGTTTTATCAAAACCGCTTCCATTTTATTTAGGGCTATCTCTAACTCCTTCTTGCTAGATGCTAATACTGCTATATCATCTGCAAATCTAAGCTTGCTAATCTTTTGCCCCTGTATATCTATCCCTACAGTTGTACTGTCTTTAATGATGTTGATCGCGTCCTTCTTAATATTAATTTCTCTACGTTGCTGCTCCAGCTCTATAATTCCCTGTTGCTTTGTATACAAAAAGAGTATCACTCTTCTATTTTTGTAACTCATCCCTACATTTTTAAGTATATTTTACATCTTGCCCCATTTAACATTGTCAAAAACTTTTTTAAATCTAAAAATCCATGTACTTTCCTTTTCGTATCGTTGCTCGTAAAGCTAGAATGGTTTCCCTTACGTTTCTGTATTTCTATCCTTTTCTGTACAATTCAGATTAAGATTTTTGATGCACGGGAAGTTAAGGTAATGGAATGAAACTAAAATTTGTAGGATTTACGCTGTAAACACTGTAAAATCATAGTTTTAATTAGTATATCATTTCCCCCCCACGAGGTCCACTTTACTTCATTTATTGACCCTGATCTTTTCGGGAACTGTGTTACGGCATGATGATTTCAATTTTGTTTCATAATCCCTCACGAGCCAGGATAAATATTAAAATTTGGATAGGAAAACAATTATGCAAACTTATTTTTCTGCAAAATATTATTATTATACAATTAATAAATATTTACAAAAACACATCATTTGACTCTGGTTTATATTTTTATGTAAGTTTTGATTATTGATTGATATGACAAACATTTTGTTTGTATTGGCTATGTGGTATCGTATTTTTAATTACAGATGGCTTTGCGTGCTATCAACAAAGATAACTTTGTTGGTATTTACGTTAATGTTTCAAGTTGCTTGTGAAATTTAACTGGCCTCTCACTGCCCGTAAACGTGCTAGGATGATTTTCGATCTTTTCTACTTTATTAATAATTCTTTAAAACAGTACGCAGTTATGTATCATTACTTAGTTTATTAGAAAAATTGGAAAATAATTCACGAAGGTACCTAGCTAATAACTTCTCTATAAATGGGTCGTGTATCCACCCACATTAGGGTGGATCGAAAATCAGCTGGTTTTGAATTGCTTTGAGTAATACCGAAAATATTATTACTCAATTTTTTATTATTTCTGCAACTTTTCAATACTTCACTTCACTTAACGTTAGAAATAAAACACTATTTATTGTTTGTTCGACTAGTTTTGTCTTTATTAGGACATTTTCAAGAATCAAATAGTGAAATATTGAAAACTAATAGAAATAATCAAAAATTGGTAAATGTCTAGATGATGGCCCCCACCCCCTTTGGGTTGAAAGTTGATTATTTTGACAATTTTCATACACTATAATTCAAATAAAATTATTTTCAAACGGGTGGAGATGGGGGATCGAAAGAGGGTGGTCACTTGAACAAAACCCGATAACCTAACCTAACCTACCCTATTGATAAAGATATTTAAATAATNCCCAAGTGTACCGGCCATTATGGTCACCCCCATATGTCCACATTCCCTTAGTTTTAGGCCTATCGTCGTACCTGCGGGAGTAGAGCTCAAGGTAAGACACCAGAAAACAATTATATGTAATATTCTGGAGACAATACGAATTTGTGTTTTGTGGTTACAGATCTCAATTTCACCAGACAGTCGAAGTACGTCTTGGGTATCCTTTGATGGAAGGAACCGGCAAGAATTGAAACATGGAGATAGGTAAGCTTATTTTTTTTAAATTGATGTACTTTGGAGAAGAAATTAGTTCTTTTGGATAAAGGTTTCGAATCCGTTTGAAGTTCAGATTAAAACAGAAAGAACATGTTGCATGAAATTTTAAAATTGAAAATTTGTTTAATTATTCATTTCTTTATTTACAGTGATACGTGCCTACATTTAATTCATAGTATCTGATTTTTAAATTTTTTAAATATGCAACTGTTATAATTGGTGAGTTAGTTGCAAATTTTAGTTGATTGATTAATAGTAATTCAGAAGCAGTGTTTGCCTAGGTCGCAGGTATATGTATTGCATATCAAACTAAAGAGTGCGGGACGATTGGTCATACGGCTCACACGTACGTGACTAGGAATCATAAGAATACATGTATTTTCGTGGAATTTTCATTCAAAAAAGTTCTTGTAGACGAGAATTTCGCAAGCGATATTATATTGTAGGTACATACGTCGCAAAAAATTTAATGGTTTAAGTTTTTAGAGTTCAATGTATCACATTGCGTATGTTCTGTATGCATATATGTGTAAACAACAGGTTTTTGCGGTTTGTATATTTGTGGCTGATTATCGTACCCATAATAAATTACAACATTTAAATGAAAAACAGCTTTCCGGTTGATCTGTTTTGTTTTTGAGTAGCACATGGATGTCGATTGTCTACGACGATCGTTCAGTGACAGGTCAAGCATGCGGTTAAATAGCCACGCACCCGTGATTAAAACAATGCCCTATCAAGTCGATAAGTTTGATCAGGTGATTGCCCTGACCTCTAACACCCCCTCCTCATTTTTTATTTATGCACTTCCGATTCATGTTCAGTGGATAATGCTCGATAAACCGCAACAATTTATTTGTGCGGTAACATATTTTTTTCCTGGATATAGCGGAAGAAGTGAAGCCAAATCGGGACCATAAGGTGGAGTTGTTTCTTTAGAAATTTTGTAAAGGAGCGGGTGCAATTTCTACAAAAAATTGACCTCATTATGTGACTAAAATTGAAATTATAAAAACATATAATTTTAATTGGAGCATGGTGTCAATATGTCCGCTTTTCTTACAACTTTCTCCAAAAATACCTCATTTTCCCCTATACGTATATACTATAGATTTGACGCTGTGGTGTCATAATAATATAATAAAAAATTGCTTCTATTCTCTGCTATTAGCTAATGAAAATCTTAGATTTATTGGAGAAAACGTATTTTTACAAATTTGTAAATTACAAAAAAACAGAACATTGACATTAAATTCCATTTAAAAAGATGTAACAGATAATTTTTGTTTATGAATTTTAGGGAAAATAATCTTTTTTTAATTAAATTTGTGTGTATACCTATTTTTTTTATTACTTTAAAATTTTACTTTTAAATCGATTTGTTATAGAAAGTGTACCCCCCTTCCCTTTTCTTTTATTAAAAATATTTGAGATGATAAGGAAAACGTATGTAGAAAAGCTTCGTCTACTATTAGTACCTACTAAACCTTGACTCTTCATTTTGATATTTTTCTTGCCTTTTTTGTATAATCGCTCTAAAACAAGTTTTTAAGCACCTACGTACAAATTATTTTTATTTACTACATAATTGCGTTTCATATTTCGTTTGAGATATCACCTTCCTTCAATATTTGCATTAGTTTTCAAAAATTATTTTATAGGAGTAATAAATTATAAACGTTAAATTTAAACATGAATAATATGTTATCTAATATTTAAAGATTGATGTAACTTTTGTATTTTTTTTTTATTCTTAACTGTGGTATTTATTTTGGATTTAACAGAGGGCAATAACTTTAGTGAAAAGGATGCATACATTATTTTTTTCTAAATAAACAAATACATTTCTTTTAATACATTTTCCATTTTCTTTCTCTATAAACAAATTTTTGGATGATCCAATGTACGAACGGTTTTTGTCGATTTTATTAATGTTTCATTCGGAAATGGCTTTTATAAAATAAGTAATTGGTTATTAATTTGTAATTAACAGTTTTTCTTCTTGAAAAGCACTTGTCACTTTTGGGGAAACTTTTTTTAAATTTTTTGTTTATATTTTACCCTTATAACTTTTTAACGAATTAATTGATTCAAGAATAGCCTTGGCTTATCATCAAAAGATCGTCAGTCCTAAGACTGATTGGACACGTACATCCACTCTTTCCTATAGTGAACTAATCTTCGCATTTCCCTAAAACTAGATCATCCCACATCCTTAACTATTTGTGAATAGTAATCTAATCAAGTCTATTTTTGCTCCTCTTAACTCCTGTTTCTCTGAATAGTAGCCCTTCATGCCTATGAAGGGGTCCTACCGACCTTTTTCGTCTTTTTGACTGTTGGATTAATTTTTGTTTGTTATGTTTTTTAAAGGAGAAAAGGATGGTTGTTTTTGTCGAAGCTTCTGTGATGGAGGACACTTTGCTGGACAAATTTTCCTCGTTTACCGCAATAAAAGATAAACTGATGACATTTAGGGATGGCAAAGATAATCTTACAGACAAAATCGACTTCATTATTTGCATGGGGGGCGATGGTACCTTGTTGTATGCCAGCCTTCTTTTTCAACAGTCTGTTCCACCTGTTATGGCATTTCATTTGGGTTCGTTGGGTTTTTTGACGCCTTTTCAATTCGACAATTTCCAAGACCAAGTTAACAACGTTTTGGAAGGCAATGCTGCATTAACTTTAAGAAGTAGATTAAGGTATTAATTAAAATAAGCAAAGTGTTTCATTTCATTTCAATATTTCTTTTGTGCACTGAGTAGTAGAATATTTTTTAGAGTTTTCATTTAAATTTTGATATTGTTTTTTACTATGGGGTCAATCCTTTATTGCAGATGTATAATTATTAGAAAAAACGAGCTAGATGAAACAAATGCTATAGATAAAAAAGACAATAAGAAACCTTCTACGAATATTTTGGTACTGAACGAGGTCGTGGTAGATCGTGGGCCATCTCCATATCTATCAAACATCGATCTTTTCATCGATGGAAAACATATAACATCTGTACAAGGGGATGGCTTGATTGTGAGTACTCCGACAGGCAGTACTGCTTATGCGTTATCAGCAGGTGCTTCTATGGTTCACCCAAGTGTACCGGCCATTATGGTCACCCCCATATGTCCACATTCCCTTAGTTTTAGGCCTATCGTCGTACCTGCGGGAGTAGAGCTCAAGGTAAGACACCAGAAAACAATTATATGTAATATTCTGGAGACAATACGAATTTGTGTTTTGTGGTTACAGATCTCAATTTCACCAGACAGTCGAAGTACGTCTTGGGTATCCTTTGATGGAAGGAACCGGCAAGAATTGAAACATGGAGATAGGTAAGCTTATTTTTTTTAAATTGATGTACTTTGGAGAAGAAATTAGTTCTTTTGGATAAAGGTTTCGAATCCGTTTGAAGTTCAGATTAAAACAGAAAGAACATGTTGCATGAAATTTTAAAATTGAAAATTTGTTTAATTATTCATTTCTTTATTTACAGTCTTCGGGTGACCATGTCCATCTACCCTTTGCCCAGCATATGCGAACAGGACCAGATCTCTGATTGGTTCGATTCCCTGGCAGAGTGTTTACACTGGAATGTACGAAAAAAACAAAAACACTTGGACGAATTGACCGACTTAACGCACTCGAGTTCAGACGATACTTTGGATTCTTTAGATCAACTTGACTGCACTGATAAGGAACAACAGCAACATCAATAACGATGATAGTAATAATAATTATTAAATTTGATTATAAGTCGGTTATTTCTTCGAACAGGCCACGATACTTATTTAATAGTTAAGCAAAGGGTAGGTACATTTTTACTGTAGTGATAATTTTTGTTTTTTTTTTTTTGGAAAACAGGGAATCATGTGCTACTATTTCTTATTTTTAATATCGTCAGGACCAGAATTCTGAGATATTGTATTTAGTAAATCGATTTTTAAATAAGGAAACAAATTTTTTAAAAGGTGGTTGGCTTGAGTAATGTGTATATATTTAATAAATAATTTTATGATGTGATTAATTGCATGTTAAAAATGAATTCAATTTAAATTAGTTTTTCAAATTTCTTTTTAGAAATTAAATATTGGAAATTATGCCACTTTCTTCAAAATAAAGTTGTTTCTTAACTAAGTTTACTAACATTTTACGAACTTTGTTAATATTAAAGAAATCCAAAGAAATACTTACTAAAGCCGATAAGAGTACGAAAATGCCCCAACCCCATCCGTTTTAAAAGTTAATTTAACAAGTTATCTAAAAAATATTTTAATTTCCATTTTATTGTACGTTATAGTTATATTTTAATAAGTTATAAGATTTAGAACTACTCGAACAGTTAAACTAATTGTTCTAGTGGTCAGTCTTGAGAATTTTTGGTATTTTAGCCTAGTTTTACTGTTTGACCCCCATTTTCACACTCTTATCGATTTTAGCCCTTTGTTTCCCTTCAAGAAAACAGTGTTTATGTCCTATGTTATATAAAACTATTTCCTGCTGGTCAAGAATTATTGTTAGACTTCAAAAAGAGTAGATTTATTAAAACATATTTTATCAGATGGTTACTTGAGCCGATCATAATTTTATGTAAATCCAAAAACTTATTTGATAATGGTTTATGGCACAATCTACACTGATTTATTTCGTTTGAGTCGTTTTATTTTAAAAGCACTATGTGTAGAGACATCGAGGATAAATCCAGCATAGTTTTTATAGAAATTAACGTTTTTGATGTTGATCCGTAGATTGTTGTTAAATATTAAGTGAAATGTAATAAAAGTGTTCAAAATGATCCATTAGAGTGTAAATTTTTTAATATAAACAAATGTCGTTTATTACAATCAATCATTAGGCTATTTTTGTAATGGATTTTAAAGCAGCGAAGCAACCTTTTATACGTGTACACGATAAAAAGTCATAAAAGATTTATATTGGGATTAGCTTTTACACTGTGACTTTTAATTCTAAAAATTTAGTTAATTATACATTTTTTTTGTACTTTGTCATTACATACCACTAGGTATTGCATTGCTATTTGTGTTTGAAATGTTTTTATCATCATATCATTACTATTATTATTAATAGGAGCCCTGGAGGCATTTGCATAATCGTTCAAAAGGCATTTGTATTTGGTCTTTAAGTTAAGGTTTGTAATTATTTATAGCACATTTGTATGTATTTATTATGCAGACATTTAAATTAACAAAAACATGTTATTCTTATTTTTCAAAATGTTTACTTTGTACTTGAATTGGTGCCAATAATGTAAAAAATATTAAAATCCCACACAACAAGTGGGTGTTTAATATTATTTGTACACTATGACTGTACAGGTGCAGTTTTTTTACTTGAATTTGTAATTGGTTTAAGTAGATGCTGTTTATTGGAGCTCTACATTTTTAAAATAGTTGCAATATCTTTTATCATATCAAAAGAAGCTATTTTTTTGCTTCATTATTCATGCATGTACACTATATATGTTTTATACATATGCGGATACTACCTTTTAT